TTTTTACTTTCTATTATGAATTTGAACTCTTAAACGGTTTTACATTGTATTTATTTTATATATTGTATCGTGTATATCCAGTATTAGACTGTATTCAGCTTTCTATTTTACCTTGCATTTATTTTATATATCATGTGTATTCCGTGTCATATAAACATATCATGTTTTCAGCTTTCTGTTTGTTTATGGTGTGTCTCAACCAAACGTGAACAGACCTCGGCCATACACCGTGGTTAGTCAGCCGTCAATCATTTCCAGAGCCCGCCCCCCAACGGCAGCACGTTTCTGCTATACCACTGATAAACTGGACAGTCCGGACAATTTTATACATCAAGTACGTGTTTTGTATTGTGATTTATTTAACACCGAAGTCTTTATCCTTATTTACAACCAAATTAGGATGATTAGCGACAGAAATGTAGATGGAATAAACCAGGAAACGAGTCGCTGAGAGCAGGTGCATGTCCATCCTGTAGCGCTCGCTAAGGTTTTGACAAATCGATGTTTATGTCGCGTTTTGTTGGATTCTAAAGTGATACGAGTCAACTTTATTGGCTCGTCATGGCGACGGTGGATAAATCTAGACAAATCTTGTCCCAGTGCGCTCTGACAAAGACGATGTAGCGACAAATTGTGACCTGTCGTTGTCCCTTTGTACATTCAGTTAAATTTTGTTAACTTTACTGTTACTGCGTTTTACAGCCACCAGAGCCTTCATGAACCTCCTACTTTACAGCAGGAGGAACTAATTTAGGACTGCACTGTTTACCTCCGAGTGTTTTCGGTGTGTGTGTGTGTGTGTGTGTGTGTGTGTTCTAGAGAACTCGTGATGACGTGCTAGATAACTTGAATTTCCTTTTTTTATCCCTCTGTAAAGAATTGCCTGAGTACATCCCTACAATGGCCTCCACCTCATCAGTTGGGGATAAACAGTTGCAGAGGATAATCAGAGATCTGCATGGTAATCAAGCTCTCCACACATACAGCAAACCCCATATGTGCGTTACAGTAGATACAATATCATGCAATATCCATCAGGTGTCTTGTCCAAAGGATTCTGCAATATTTACATCAGCCAAAGATTTTTTTTATATGTAAATGTTTGTTCGTTTGTTTTACCAGATGAACTATACACTAACCAGTTACAGCATTTACCAGCATCACCAGACAAATACTGTGCCAAGTCTCTACCTGCCACCAAAAAAGCTATGACCTGTCTGAGCTGTTTTGGCAGCTCGTTTGGGAATGTCCTGGGTTGCAAGAATAGGGAATCAGATTTGGGTCCAATTTTGTGCAGTTGGTCTAAAGTCGGTGTCACCGAGCTTTTCATGTACTTTATTCATAGCTGAAGAGTTTGAGTTTTTGCACACCTGATATGTATAGAACCTTTTTTCATACTGTATATCAACACTATGTGTTCAGATTAAAAAAAGAAATAAAGCAGTCACATTAAAAATAACTCTGCAAGATTCATTTTTTTCCTCACAGAAAACATAAAAAATAATCAATTACAGTAAAGTCCTATAAAAGCTTTTCAGTATCCAAACCGTACTTGGGCCTCCATACTGTAAATAGGTCATGTTTCTGTACATCCCATTAAGTTTAGAGGCTAAGTCAACATACTAGGATCAGGTTTTTTTTGGTGTGTCTCATAATTTTGCTGTGGGAGGTCACTATCTTGGGGAATATTCTTCTTTTGCAATTATGTTTAAGGTGTGTCTTGGTAGTGTCCACATGACCCAAGATTTCCCAACCAAACACGGTATTATAGTGACATGACCAAAGGTATTCACTCCACCTGTCTATGGCTTGAGTGACATGGCTGCTTGGTTTAAATGTCACAAAAATATTCTGGGACAAAAAAAAATCTATCTACACAAGATCACATATTTGTGTTTGGGTTAATAATGCTCTTGTTCTTCTTTTTTAAACTGTAGATGCAGTGATAGAGTTAAGTAAGGAACACAGGGAGTGTGGTGAACCTATAACGGACGACTTCGCCAACCTGCACAAGTTCTTCTACAAACTAGAATACCTGCTGCAGGTATGTCGCCATATCAAAGAGAGTAGCATTGGGTAAATTAAACCATAAGTACCTACCACTCCCCCCACACACTCTTCCTTTATCATATGTGCTCACATAGCCCTTAATGGATCTGAGCCAGAGAAAGCATCAGTTAATCATAACATCTCAGCACTTCCATCTAATACTTGCTTTTCCCTTTATTTCATTCATTCTTTCTTTTGTGGTTTCACAATTTTATGCATTTTTCTGCATAACTGGGGAGGTGGTCACACATTGTCTTGAACATATTTGTTAATTTCTTAGCAAAGCTATTTCTGTGGGGGCTGTTGCTAGAAAGACAGTTGCTGAGGCATGTCTAGCCATCAAACTATGTGCATGCTTTACCCGATCCAGTTGACCTAAACCTTGGGCCCCGCTCTTTTTCAACCAGATCAAGGCACAGTAAGGTTAATCACACCAGAGTATGGCACGCAGCGATCACACTCAGTAAATACTCTCCAGGATTGTATAGATTGCCTAGTGTGAATACACCATTAGCTTCTGGTGGAAGTGGCTAATTTTAAGAGGATCCCGGTGTAGCCAGTGGATTTCTGAGCAAAGAGATCAATTTCTGCTTGCAAAAAAACCCAACACAGAACTATTTACCTGCATGTAACAGAAGCCTGGTCAAACATGACTTGTCAGTAGTATTGGGAGTGCTGTAGACTAGTGTTCTTAAGTTGTGAACTCTTAAAATGAAACATTTCACAAGACTCATGTCACAAGCCTTCCTGTATTTAAAGGTTATGAGTCCTGATACCAGTGAGTAATTTCTTTAATGTGCTTGAGCTGTTCTTGTAAAGTCCAAGTTGAAGAAAATACACATTTGTGTAGCTCAACTATGTCTTTTTCTTTCCCTAAATCTTCTTGAATTACATTAACAACTACTAAACACTAGCAACTCAGTCACCCTGGCGATGTAGTACAGTCCACATTACAGAGCACATTGTATGTGAATGCAATAATTTTGTGTCCTTTGTGTCTCTTAGTTTGACCAAAAAGAGAAGACAACCTTTCTTGGCCAGAGAAAAGACTACTGGGATTACTTCTGCGACTGCCTGATTAAGATCAAGGGAGCTAACGATGGCATCCGTTTCGTTAAGTCCATCCCTGAGGTAATCCTCCTCTGCAGCACACGCATACACTTAGTCACCCTTTGTGCCTCAGCCCTTCCATGGCGTGAAACACATGCGCACATGTATACAGACAGTGACCGTATAACCATGTAACTAATATTCCAACCAATCAGGTGCACTAAGGCTCAACGCTGCTAATTCACATGCTATCTTACACTTGTGCCACCCGTACTGTTTCCTCCTCACTTTTTGTCCTGGAAATTCACACTGGTGAGCCTCATACTTCAATAACTATTCATGATTTGGTCCTAGTTTGTATTGTAATGAATTGGTTTCCTGTTGAACTGTTAGTAATATTTGGTGGTTAAGTGATCAAAGTGTTCTTTGTGTGTTGGTTATTAGCATTTACAAGTTATGTTGTTCTGTTTGTAAAGGCAACAGCTATGACTACGTTCATTATCTGCATACTTCATGATTATTTTCCTGCATTCCAATAGACGTTGGGTACCCACTTTTATAGATGATAATTTTAGGGTACTGAATTATGTGCCAGGTAATTTTTGACTTATGATCTATTTTTTAAACTATTTTTGTATTTCTTTATCACAAGCCTGTTAATATTTTTTGCTGTTAAGTAATCATTGATTTGATAACATAAGGAAGACAGATCTGTGGTTTAAAGTTTTTTTGAGGGGGGAGGGGTGGGGTTTAAATGGGTCAGCATGTTTATTTTCAGAAGTCACACAGTCTAGTCAATAACATCTGACTGATAATTAATAATTAAAAACCTTTGGCACTCTGAAAACCTAAAACATTATTATTTTTTTTCTCTTCTTTTACTGTTTTTATTTGCTGTCCATTGGTCACAGACATAAAGACGTCTCCAGCTGGTGTCTGTCTGGTGTATCTGTGTCTCTTATCTTACTTAAATCCCTCCATCTGCCGATGCATTGGAGATTCTAGGCTTAGAAATAACATTGTACATCTATTCTCTATATGGTGATCATCTTTAAATTTTAAGCTAAACTGCGATTTATGCAGTATAATTTAACATTTCCATGTTAAATTGAAATGGCCAAGACAGATTTTATATTTACTAACCTCAAAAATGGAAAAAGAGCTGTAGTCTTATTTTAAAAAGTCTTAACAGTTTCCTTTTAATGCTTTATACAATGTATTTTAGGAAGTAGAAACTGTATTAAGTCTGACCTATTTAACAAGTTAAATAAGAAAAACAGTGGAGGTTAGTCCACCTTGGATTGAGTTTGCCAGTGTTGTGCATGTTTATGACAAAAGAGTATTTTTGTGTGTCCTCAGTTGAAGACATCACTGGGGAAAGGAAGAGCTTTCATCCGCTACTCGCTCGTTCACCAGCGTCTTGCTGACACACTGCAGCAATGTTTTATGAATCTAAAGGTCACAAGGTGAGAGGACACATCAGCTCAGATTAATCTAATGTTCACCTAACGCATCGAAATATTGTAACATCTAAGACTAAAAATAATTAGATGATTATTTTTAGTCTTAGTGTTATGGGCAAAAGAATTCTGTAAATGATAGAAACACTATCTGTAACACTATTTTACATTTTAAATTGGATACTATATGCGCTTTAGTTACATTGAGCAATTGCTTCTGTGATCTTGTACTTGGACAAGATAGCGCTAAACATGCCCCAAAATCTGTAACTTTAAACACTTATTTTTAAAATCTAGTTTTAAGTCTGTATCAGTTTATGCAAGTAGGACTCGATGGTATGTTTCATGTCTGCTTTAAGAAGAAAAAAACATGATATCAGATTGAATGCTTGACTTAAACATTGAGATCTATGGACATGTTACAACAATTCAGTTTAGTGAGAATATTAAACCCGTTTCGATGCACACTTAGGCTTAAATTCATAAATACCATTGTTTTCGTGGTAGCTGATGATATTGAAATCTAAAAGGTCAGCTTTAATGTATTCTGTGCTGCAAGTTGGGAAATTCTGGATACTGGGCAGTGATAAAGCTGACATTGCGCAAATGACTGCGGTAAAGGTTTAATCTCCACTTATCTGAAAATTATCTACAAAAAACTGACAAAACAAAATTAGGAAAACATAATTTAATAATGGAAGTTTAAAGTATTTCCCTGGACTAACCGATTAATCAATGCTAATTAGAATGTGTAATTCTGTTGATTGCATGCATTTCCTTCATGGCTACATGCAACATGAACAGTGGTTTATCTCTAAATGTCCTAATTCATCAAAGAGTACGTGTTATTGAAGATAAATTGATACATTTTATAGTTCCTGACTATGACAGTTAGAAAGCTGTTGCCAAGATGTGTGTTTTACTCCAGGCATACTGTACTGCTTTGTTTTGGATGTTCTTAGGAAGTGTGATTCTCCCTTCCTTTTTTATGTCCTGTTTCTCCTTTTCGACTGAAATCACAGCAACCAAAAAAAAAAACTTGACCATAGACCTTTGTAGCACTGCTCAGTTCCTGTCTTTTTTCAAATCAAAATGTCAGTTTTATTTTTGCTTTAAGGAAAAAAAGAAGTAGTTTATTCTCTACGCACAGTAAAACTAAACGCAGCAGTTTACACCAATGACATGCTAACTTTGCCAGTTTCTCTTCACATAAACAATATTCAAAATGAAAATAAAATAAAAATGCAATTAACAAAATGCAGGTTTAAGTAATAAGTAATTAACAAATAAAGAAATGAGTTAAAAAAAAATAGCTCATCTTAAAAACCAGAGATGCAGTATCTGTGCCTTTTGCAAATAAAGGAAGCGCTGTACAAATTAGACAGTCTAATGGGCCATGTTTGGCAGTATGAAAGAGAAAATATTTAACCTATATTTAAACACAGTGGGTTTTGTAAATATTTTACATTCAGTAGAGATTCAGCGTAGTTAGCAAACACACTGGAATGAGGAACGTCAGGAATGGATCTGAAACAGGTTTGGTGTTTTGGTGGTGGGTGGCAGCTTCTATGTTTTTTTTTTTGTTTTTTTTTTTTGTCACTGAATGATTGATTTATTTTGAACATGACTAAAATAACAACAAAATACACTTTAAACAATAATGAGACAAAGAAAGGGTTGGTACAAACAGACTTAAAGGTAAACTCATTTGATCCTACCTCAATATACAATATACATGTATAATTACATACAATTATATAAGTCTACAAACAGATATCATGCATAAAAACCAATGTGTATAATCTTGGAGCAGATATGGGAGGAGGCCATCCCTCCCAGTTTTACTTATTAAAGTAATCTATAAAGGGTTGCCAAATTAGGTAAAAGTGTTTAACATTATCTCTCAATGAAAATTTAATTTTCTCCAACTGTAAATGATACATTGTGTCTCTTAACAAAGCAGAATGAGTTGGGGGGGCTTTATTTTTCCAATTTAGAAGTATAAGGCGTCTTGCAAGCAATGTTATAAAACTCAAAGCACAAATTTGTGCAGCTTCTATGTTTGAGCAAATACTTCTTCACCTCTGGGGTGCAAAAGCATTTTTCCCAATATGAACTATGGAAAAAACAAAATACCATTTTATACGACCTTTGGTGCTGGACTGAGTGCGCTTAGAAATAGTGCCTAGAAATAGTTTTTCTTTTCTTTTTTTTAAATTTCAAGACTTTGAATACTTCAGTAAAACTTTCCCTGTTTTCAGTCTATAGGCTCAGCTTATGTACGACAAACCAACTGGATGCTGACTGTGCCATCAGCTTTACACTGCAAACATGCTGACAGTTGTTTTATTTAAAGCGTTCTCAGAAAGGGTAGCCTCATTACTTTATGTCTTCATTTTTTGTCTGAATTCTTTTTTTTAAATCTTTGAAACCTTTATTTCTCTGTTCTCTAGATAACGCAAAATGTCTTCTGTTTTTCAGTATATGAGGAAATGATTATTATTGTTGATAGAGCAAGGAAAAGGAATAGCAAGGATATTGATATTTGGTTGCTATAAATAAATTATTTTATTTTATTTTATTTTTTTTGGTTTCCCTTTAAACGGTGCCAAATTTGGGAGGAAAATATATTTGGGGGTTGAGCAGCAACTACTGAGACCTGTTTTAAGCTTGAGTCCAGATTTTGATTGTGACAGTTGGATCATAGGGTCAA